TTTTGAAAGATGCTTAGATGTAGTCAGCAGTCCAAATAATCAAGTCTAGCATGGAAAATTACAAGACAGAGCATGAGTGCCATGGGTTACTTTCTAAAGGCCCAACATAAGCAAAGATAACTATCATCTGCAACAAATAATAGTTGACTTCCAGGCATACAGGTAAAGAGTAACGGGTCACAAACAGGTTTTTCCATGACTAGAGCCACATACAGTTCTTTCAGATGAGGGGAAAAATCTTACTTGGTCTGGAAGAAGTTTTTCTAGACAAACCTTACTTCATGTTTCATAACAACAACCTTCCTGGTCATGATTCATCTTTACTACTACAATTACAGCTCATCTTTTCACTTTGCCCTGCTTAGTCTATAACTCATCTTTGCAGAATGTGTCCCATAAACATCCAACATTCAACTAGCTGAAAGACAAGAGGCAACAAAATTGAGACTTAATGTAATGTCTTCTCAAACCACTATCTGACAAGTCAGTCACAAAGTCAGCTATCATCATCATCAGGCAAATAATTTACTCATCTACCTAATTGTTGCAAAATCATGAGCACAAGACTAAAGGTCAATTTCTACTGTAATCCAAATTATATTTTTAACTAGCAGACATACATAAACAGAGCAAAGGTGTGTGCATATGCACAAACATCTTAATAGTTGCTTTTTGGATAATTTATTTTCTGCAGCCTCAGCATGAGCTATGGCAATAGCTATAGCTTCTGTAAGAATGTTTAGCTGACAAGAATGATCTGTAGCAGAAAAAAAATAGAAATTAATGGATCCAACCAGTGCTCCTAGAATTTATTGAACAAGATGATGGAAAGAATGCTGCTGTTCTCCCAAAACTATGTGTAAACAATATTTGTATGATCCTGCTCTAACAAAACTGAAACCAGGTTGAAATGGTCCTTTATCTGATTGGAACTTTGTGACCATGCCTTAACAAGCAACCCTTAATTTTTCCTTTATCTTTATTTTGTCATGTTTAAAAAGATGTGCAATTCAACTGAAGAATATAATGGCTGAAATCCAACAGTAAGTTGCAGCTAGTGTAGGCTTATTGAATCAATGGAACTTACACGGGTGTTGACTCACCAAATCCCCACCGATTCAATGGGTTTATTTTAGTTGCCGCTTACTACTGGATAGCAGCAAATGTGTCTTTAGTTTGCTCTATATTAGTAAGCTCACTGGAGGGAAAATATTTTCCATCTTGTTTTCCAAACTGTTGCTTTGGAGAAGCCTTTCAGTAAGTTTCTGTTCACTGGTTTGCATCTACTAGTCTAACAGAAACATTCTTCGAAGCAAAACACAAAGGCCCCCCATGTTCAACAGATTGCAAATTCTGTTCCCATTCAGAGCAAACAATGATTAATTTTAGAAACATCATTAATTTTTGTGATGTCATTTCCCACCCATAAACAAGTACTGACAAAAATATAAAAACTGGAACTTTGTTACATTAAGCACAAGAACTAGAAACACAGGAGGGGAATTTAAAAACCGCTATGTATCACCTACACATGCTTATCCTGAAAGTTATTTTTTTGGACTTTCTGAGATATGAGATGAATCTACTTCGGCAAACACTACGAATACATTTTGGTTATAAAAAGAGAACAATCCATTCACCTTCATAATCATGTTCTCTGGGCACAAGATTAAAGTAAACCAGAAGAAAATTGCTTTCCTTTTTATTAATGACCACTCTAATCCCACTTATATTTTTGCCATTCTTTTCCTTCTATAGCACAGGTGTCCAACTTTTCACCTTCCCTGGGCCACATTAGACGATGAAAATTTGGTTTGGGCCGCATGGAGGGGCAGCCCTAGCCGTCCTCCGCAGCCCCGCTCCAAGCGCGCATACCGGCAGCTGCGATCTCAGATAGCAGAGGCTGCTAGCTTTGACTCCGGTGGCTTTATGGGGCTGGGAGGGGTTCCACCTTTTGACGGGGCCAGCGCAATACAGTCACGCAGCCCCCCATCCCCTCCTCGCCCGCTCCTTCCTTCCCTCTCTCCCCCCCTACCGTTGTGACGTCCCCCGGCCGCATTCCAGCCGCAATCGCCGGCAGTGTAACTTGAAACTTTGGAATTTATTTAAAAATAAAAAATTGCACTGGGCTGCATTACGAGCCGACCTGGGCCACATGCGGCCTATGGGCCGCAGGTTGGACAAGCCTGTTCTACAGTTTAGCAGTGACAAAAATCTAAATTCTGATCAAATTAAGTAGATGGACAAGTATTACAAGATCTGTTGGAACAAGTAGAAAATAGGCTCTTTGTAACCTAAAATAATGTTTGCCTCTGCAATATCCTTTTTTCAATATCCAACATTTTAATCATTTTTTCAGAGGTATAGACATTCACAACAGTCTATTAAAGAAAGAAAAACTATGTACAACAACTTGTAAAGAAGCATTACTTTAATAAATTATTTGGCCTAACCACACCACACTAACTCTGTTTTAGGTTTAACGAATTATGGGTGCAACTAGACAGTGGGGAAAACCCAGTTTGATTCAAAGGTTTTTTGACCACATATATGCTACTTTCCATAGGTATAATTGCTGCAGCTGTCCACATGTTGCAGAGGCAGAAAGCTGTAACACTAGCAATTTCCACCAGGATTACCTTTTCTCTTCTCTTTCATTTTGATTTTTCTGAAGTGACATAATACTTTTCTGGTAGTGCACTACCTTTTGCAAGCATAATAAAAACATTGAAAAATTATTTGGAAGAGGGGAGACAGCAGGCACTAGGTCAGGGGTGGGCAATTTATTTCTATAGGGGGGGGGCACATGAAAAATCTGAACTGTGTCCGGGGGCCGAACCAACTTTACTTAAAAATAAAATGAAACAGTAATGTTGAGATTGTTTTTATTTTAAACTTGTTAATCTTCACAAATACTAAAGAGGTTTTTTGCTGTATGTTAAAGATAAGCAACTGATCAACTTTAGAAAAAAGCTATGAATGGTTTTGATGTCCGGCGGGCCAGACAGAAGCAGCTCGCGGGCCACACTTTGCCCAGGTCCGCACTAGGCTGAAGAAGTAGATGTAAAAGTGAACCCACTGACATCTCCACAACTGCACCTTTGCATTGGATCAGTCAATTATGCATGTCAGAAAGCAGAGAAAAGCAATGTCATCCAAATCATAGCAAAATAAACCCAGCTGGCTGAACAAAAAGGCATGATTCCTCAGTGAAAAACACCAGGTTTCCCCATGCTTACCTTTACACTGTGTCGTCACTTTTTAAAATTAGATTTTGTCTGTGCCAAATCTGATGAGAACAGCACTGTAAATAACTAATGTAGCTGCCCCTCTAGCACAGCTACCTCTCTTGAAAATTACTACAAACTCAAACAGGTCTCCACATGAACTACCTGGAACATCCAAGAAAGACATTTAAGCCTAAAGTGTTCATTAGCAAACTGCTCTTTAATGTCCTGGCTCCTAAAGAAATAAACAGAGTACTACCTGGAGTGTCCACAAGACTTAATACCAACACTTTCATTCTAATACAGCTTGATAGTAATAACAGGTTGTTTCAAACTGGTAGCATCCTTCTAGGATGGAATATGCATAAGCTAAAAGCACAGTCCGTTGTAGAAACAAAACTTTGTTACTTAGTACAGGAAGCCGCTCCCCATATAACAAATAGATTTATTCTATATCAATCCTTTTTCAGACTGGAAGGATCCAATATTGTCTGCAAGAAGGGGCAAGAGAATATTTGTGAGCACACAGCATCTATACATATACTAGAAGCAGTTCATAGAAACATAAGGCATTTAAGTATTCAAAGATGCAATGGTGAATTCTACTTGGGCTCAAAATAGCGCATCAAACTGGAGACACTTCTTCACGGTTGGATAACCATAACTAACTGTCTTGACCCAAATCTATTTGCATTGAAAAAACACCTTAAAGGTCCGTGCGACCAACTGCTAGGGTAACAAACCAGTGTACTGATGAGAAGCTGGCTGATTCTCAGCATATTTAAAGAAGCAGTTCATGTCTTACTAATAATAATAATTATTCAGGTCTTATGGTGCCTTCAAACTTGAGACATCACAAGCAGGATATATATGTCTGATCCGTTCTGGGCTGAGCCCTGCAATGAACTCAAAGAAACAAATCCTTATTCATCAAATCGGACTGGGTCCAGATACAGCTATACCAGCTCCTGGGATTGTTCTTGTCCCCAGATTTCTCATTTGAGCAAAAACTCTCTGCAACGTGTGAACGCAGGAAGCCGAAAAGCAACCTTCACAGCACCATACCCAACCTCGGCAATACTAGATAAGATATGTGCCGCGTATCTACTACAGAGTCAAGGACGCAAAGGCTATCCCGCCCCGGGATCAGCACTTAATGCCTGTTATCTATGCACAGCAAACCATGTGCCCGCGGCTACCTTCACGGCGGAGGGCTAGAAGAAAAACGGGAAGGGATAGGAACCGCTTCCTCTTCTATCGCCCCTCTTCAGACCTGGCTGTTTTGCAAAGCAATTCACACGTAGAAGCAGCCACCATCATGACACGTACGTTCACCAACACCCATCCTCCCTTTCCGGAGGAAAAAGATGAGAGTGAGGGATGAGGCGGCAGGAGCGCCTCGGGGGGCACCGCAGGGAGAGAGAGGGGCTGCGAGGGGGATGGGAAGGAGCTCGACCCCTTCACACGACCCCACACCGTCCCTCTCACAGAAGGCGCGTTTCACTCCGCTTGTTTCCTCGGATCCCCAACCCGAACTACCCTCTCCCCACGACGCCCGCTTGTGCTCTCAGGTACTTCACAGCCGAAGGGGCTTCGCCGCCGCCGCCGCCGCCGCCCGCCAGCATTTCCTTCTTTCCGCCTAAGGCGGTTCTGGCTACGACGCCGGGGCTCACGGAGGGGAAACAGGGCTTATTCTCCCCGCTCGCCCGCCCTGTTCTCCTCCCTTCCCTTCTCCCCCCACCACCTCGACACGGAAAGCTCTCCCCTACTCACACAAGCCCAGCGACGCCGCCAGCAACAGCGCGGGAAAACAACAGCAGGCAGTAGACGTCGCGCTTCGCCTCAGACCGCCGCCTCTCGCCGCCGTTAATACTACCGCCGCAATCGCCGCCGCCGCCGCTGCCATTTTTCTGCCTCCACCTCCTTTTCTTTCCATTGTTCCACCCCCGCCCATGGTTGGAGACGGGTAGGAGGGCCGGGGGGAACCTCCAGGCGGGGATTGAGCCGCAGCGCTGTCAGTCACACACACCTCCTGAATCCTACATCTCCTTTTCTCCAAGCTCTGCCTTTTGCTCCTCAAAGTAGAAGGCGATTGGGAGTTCCAGATTTCATTCGGGAAAAGGTGGGCCATTGGCAAGGAGCGCCCCGCCCTCTGTTGTAGACACGTGACGGGGAGCTACCTTTGGGTTTCATATGTAGGGCTGGACAGATGGTAGAGCGGCGGCGTTCCTTCGGTGTCGGTCCAGCGCCGTCGGAATAGGTTGAGTGACTTAAGCAGAGTGCTTTGACTCTTGTCTTTGATATATCGATGATGAGGGACTACGTACTTTCCCTTCGTTGCAGTCGTCATAAACACGGTCCCTGTGTAATCTAAGGCGTGCAAACCTGCCTAGCTTCGCTCAGCCTTACGCGTTTTGTGCCCATTCAGTTCTGTGGAGCGCGGCAAGGATAATGATCAGGTTGCTCTCCCTCGTTTTGGCGCAGGTAGCCAGCAACCTCTGGGGCATCTCCGAAATGTATGCACTCATTTAGACGGTGTGTAAACCATTTCAAAAAGGGTATGTTTAAACACCATGACCCAAATGAATAAATATCCTAATTCCTGTTTACTAGGTAGGATGTACTGATCCTATCAATTGCGAAATCCAACCCTTTGCAACTCATACAGTATTGCCTAGGAAAAAGAGGGCTTCCAGAACACCCTGGCTTAGACACTTAGCGTGGTGCCATAGTTAGAGAGTGCTCCTCTGGGACTTGGGGGGGAAATGAGGTTCTAGCCCCCCTGGAGCTATTAGGCTCACAGGATGACCAAGAGCCAAGTCTGGCTTCCCTGCCTACTTACCTACCATGCAGGGTTGTTGTGAAGGTAAAGTGGGAGGGACAAAAGTGATGTACAGCCGTCCTGAGTTCATTGGAAGAGAATATAACAAGTAGCACATACTGCACTGAAGAAAACAATTCTCAGTGTGAAATTTCATCATCTTCATTTCCTCATCTCTCCATCCCTTCCTCCACCAGACTTCCTTCTCTGCTTGCTTTGCCCTCCCCCCAATCCTGCCCTTACTTCCCCCTCTTCCAGCCTCGAAAGGTGTGCAGCTACCAAACAAATGAGAGCAAAGTAAGTTGCATCCTTTCATCACACACCATTTAGAAGGGGAAGGGAAGGAGGGAAATCTAATAGTTTACCAACAGATCCCATCAGCCAGTTCCAAGTAAGCCAGTACTGGGGGATAATAGGAGCTGCAGGGAAAAAACATATGGAGTTGCTCACCCCTCATGTAGAACCTCCTTTCTCAATCTTGGCAAAACCAAAAAAAAGAGGTCACTTTCATTAAACTAAGGGAGAATTACAGGTTGGAAATAATTGATTAGAATTAGTGCAGTCATTGGTCACTTTTTGAATAATGAGTGAAGAATTAAGTTACATTTCAAAAGTAACATAACTAATTACAATGTTATTATTTTGGTATAACAAGTAATACAGTATCCCCAGGAGCATTATGTAATTTTAGGGAAATTTTAATTTTCTCCACCTCAAAACATCAAGTTTGATATTCTGAGGAATCATTAGTGGCATGTTCCAAAGAAGTAGCAGTGTTAGTCCATCTCAGCATGCTGGCAAAAGTAAAGGGGAAAAATAAATGAAAGGCAAAATGTTGTAGCACTGTAAAAACTGTGAACTTTCATGCTAGCTTAAGAAAATGATAGCAAAAGGTAAAAAGAAGAAAGCCAAAATATTGTAACACTTTAAAAACTAACAATTTTATTTCTCTACAGTGCTACAACACCCACCCACCCAGTTTCTTTTACTAACATAATTGAGATAGATTAAGGGTGCAAGTACACAAGCAGGAAGGTATGAGGTGATCCACTGTGATTTTAATCGGCGGAAATCATATTTCCTCGAGTGAAATCACTGTAGCCATCCAGATTTGCCGAAGTTAGTAGAGGCAGAGAGCTTTGTTTGCACTGAACTGAAACAGCAGAAATTGTCTTAAGAAGGTGCTAACAAGTGGTAATTGGCAATTTCCACCTCTCTTTTTTATTGTTCTACTCTAGTAAAAGGCTATTCTAGAAGTGACTTAAAACCTTTTGTGAGTGCTGCCAGCCCCACCGGAGGTGGTGCCCTTCACTGCTGGATCCTCCAAAGTAATTTCACAGGCTCCAGTTTCCAAAGAAAGCCAATAACAATCTTTATTTGAACAAATGTAGAGCTATTTAAAGGAACTGAGGATTTAACCTGTCTTCCAAGTGAAATCTGCACAGGAGCCCCTTCTCTGTGGCCCCTTCCTTTGTCAACTGAACTGTGTTCAGGGATGTCTTCACAGGGATCTTCCTTCCAGTTGGCTTCCACATCCCCAGAAGCGCGCGCACACACACACACACACACACACACACA